GCGCGGCGTTCCTGGAACTCTTCACAGCAGCGATACCAGCAGCGACCGCGACGGTGGCGGCTGTAGGTTAGATTTTAAGAACAAGTAGTTTGTAAGTTTTAGTTTAGTGATTGAACTCACCGGCAAAGCCAGTGCTTACGGTTAATAATGAAGTAATAAAGTTAAATTTTAAAACTCGAATAAACTAACTTACACAAGGCAAAGATTTTGGCCTATTAAGGGAAAATTGCTGACACGATCAATTGTGCTAAACTGCGTAAGATGCACCAAAGCTAAGCCAAAACTAATGAGTCAAATTATGGGGAACTTGCCTTCAACAGGAGTAACTCCAGCAAGACCATTCATCAACTCAGGCGTGGACTTCTGCGGGCCATTTTGGGTTCACTTCAAGATAAGGGGAAAGAAACCACAAAAGGCCTATGTAGCGGTATTTTGCTGTTTTGCCACAAAGGCAGTACATTTGGAATTAGTCAGCGACTTAACAACGGATGCATTTATTGATGCCTTAAAACGATTTACAAGCCGAAGAGAACATTGTCAAAATTTATATTGTGACAACGCAACCAATTTTGTAGGCGCGAAAAACCAGCTTTCTGAACTTACTGACGTTGTTTATGGAAATTCATCACGATAATTAATAGTAAAGCAGTGCAGCGGAAAGGGAATAACATTTCATTTTATACCTCCTAGGACTCCCAATTTTGGCGGTTTATGGGAAGCAGCGGTAAAATCAGCTAAGCATTTACTAATAAGAACCACCTCGACAGCGTCCTTAACGTATGAAGAATTGGACACGGTAATCATCGAGGTGGAAGGAATCCTAAATTCCAGACCAATCAGCCCAATGTCCGACAAGCCTAACGATCTAACAGCTTTAACTCCAGGCCACTTCCTCATAGGAGAACCCCTTAATGCCCAAGTTGATCCAACGTGTAGGCCAGAGCAAACAAATTTATTAACAAGATAGAAACTTGTTGCTCACCTCAAACGCGAGTTTTGGAATCGGTGGTCCCGCGAATATTTATCTGACCTTCAGCTGCGAAATAAGTGGAAGACACAACACAACAACATCAACGTAGGTGACATGGTGATTATCAAAGAAGACAACACACCGGTACTGCAGTGGCCATTAGGAAGAATCATCAATGTATATGAAGGAAAGGACGGTGTAGAGAGAGTGGCTGATGTAAAAACTGCTAGTGGCACTTGCAAGAGGCCTATTCATCGGCTTGCACCCTTGCCCAAGGAAACAAATGATGCCACAGAACGACAATCAACCAACAAATTGCTTAAAGAAGACAAAATTCCATTAAGGAGGAATAATCCTTCCTAACACCAAGGACTTGCTACGCTTCTGATTACCCTACTCATCTTACCATTGGCTTTAGCTTCAAAATAAGCGATTTGGATCACGGCTTGGCATTCATTTTAAAGGAATAGGCTCAACAGCCATATCAACCACCGATTGGAACCTAATAATCTACTATGACATGGAAGGATTTTTGGTAGAACTTGCAGCGCTGTCAAATGGCAGAAGGGCCCTGCGCCATTTATGTCAAGAAATCACACGGAAAACGCTCATGTCTTTCTCTGGTAGCACATCTTGAACAGACTGAAAAAGAGTAGCAGCTAGACTACGCAATAGTAAAATCTAATCGGCGTAAACGAGGTGCCATTGATGCAGTTGGAAATATCGCTCATTCTTTGTTTGGAGTACTGGACGCACAATATGCAGAACAAATGCCCAAAACAATCATAACATAAAAACATCGACAAGCATCGATGTTTGAATCCACGGCCATCGATGTTGCTCGATACATCGATGTTTATTTACATACCTATTTGTTAATTCATTCGAAATAAACGAGCGATAAGATTTCTGAATCCAACTAAAAGCTGCTGTGTACCTTAAAAAATAATAATAATACGTAAATAAAAAGAATAAAAATGAAAAAGAAAAGTTTCCAGACTTATATGAGTCTTGAAAAAAAGAAATTTTTAGAAAGTGCGCGGCGCTTTAAAACGGAATGCGTTACTCCATCAAGTGAATCAATTTTTGCTGATCGTTCGGTTGTTTCTGCACCAGGAAACATTTCCTCTAGTGCTCCCCCATGTTCTTGTGATCAATTTGATGGCTCAATTTGTGATGGCGACCTATATTATATTAGTCAACCTATATTTATAAATTGAAGGGGCCCTCGGGATGCCTAAACGACGTCATTCGTAAGTTGTTTACGGATGAGTTTTTGCAACACTACAATTGGGACGGGCGATGGGAGAGGGAATCGTTAGCGCAAATGAAATTAGTTGACGAAATTTTATTTGGCAATTAGTATTTATTTAATTTTCAAAGTTATTTGATTAACTATCATCTTTAATTCTTTTCAGATGTATTTAAATCTGAAGGACGATTACCTTTCGAAAAAAGTGTAAAAGTCTATTGACTTAAATGTGGAAAGTTTCAGCAAATTCGCGAACTTTTTAATACGAATTTCTAAAGAGATTCCAGGTATGCAGTTTTATAGGCCATTAAATTTTAGTATAATAATGTGAAAATTTCAAAAGTCAGAAAAAAAAATTCTCAAAAATCAACGCGATTAAAAAGTTCGCGAATTTGCTGAAACTTTCCTCATTTTTCTTAATTTTTGTACACACTATCATTCTTGGATTTAAATGGGATTTGCTGAAACATAAGCCATATTTTAAAACAAAATTAACAAAAAAAAGCCTTACGCTCAATTTTGAGAGTAACCGTACATGTGTTGTAAAGCGTAATACCCAGTATTATTATTTTGTACTTTTTATGCAACAAATTGATTTGAGCTGTGAAACAAAATATTTGTTGGCATGCTAGTTTTTTTTTATTGAATTCACCATTTGTGTTCCTTTTTAAGGTTTCTCTTTTTACGTGCCAATAAAAATGTTAATTTAAATAAATATAATTGGTTAAATAATTGGGTAATAAAACCCAATATATTCGTTAGGCTTAACTAATTTTTAAATTTTTATTTTTTTTACTTTAAGATTTCTGGTAGTCCTAACAAACATATGCCAGAAGTCTAACCAATATTTATGGTAGGGCTAATTGACATATACCAGAAGTGTATCTAGGATTTGTGGTAGGCCTAACAGATACATACCAAAAGTCTAACTAGAATTCGTGGTAGCCTTAATAATCATATACCAGAAGTATACCTAAGACTTCTGGTAGGCCTTACAAACATATACCAGAACTATACCTAAGACTTCTGGTAGGCCTTACAAACATATACCAGAAGTATACCTAAGACTTGTGGTAGGCCTTACAAACATATACCAGAAGTATACCTAAGACTTCTGGTAGGACTAACAAACATATACCAGAACTATACCTAAGACTTCTGGTAGGACTTACAAACATATACCAGAACTATACCTAAGACTTCTGGTATCCTTCACATTACAATTTTTAAAAAGGGGCAATGTAATGCTTAAATCCGTAGTCCAATACGTATGTATGAAAATTTTAAAAGAAAAGGAATACTTTTTATTTAAAACGAGTTTTTTCAAAAACGACTCGACAAGTTATGGGCTATAAAATTTTTACACATTATTTGTAACATAAATAACCCAAATTAGCAATAAAAAATGATGTGCTATGACCTTCGCTTTAAAGTTCGTTCAGGCCCACCGTGATAGGCGCAGAGCGCAAGTAGCTCGTCGGTGTGAGTAGAAATCACATATATGTAAGCAAGCTAAACCGGAGCATGGCGGTGCGCAGAGTACTAGTAGTTAGTGCTGTACATAAATGTAGTAGTGTATGTACATAAATGTCATATGTACATATTAACGAGCTAGAACGGTGCAGTACCCTGGTAGACAGCCTTACCCGATTCTCCAATACATATGTACAAT